ATTACACACATGAAAAATGTAACCTATTTAAAGATAGTTGCACTAATTTAAATGACACAGGATGTTAAACCAAGACATGTGCTAATAAAGCAGCACCATTTACTCATTAAGCTTGTAATTCTTGGTTGCCTACATGTACTGCCAATTTAGTCACATCACCAACTGAATGCATAACTATGCCAGCCAAATGTGCCACTTTGAGTGCAACAGCATGTGTTTGGGCTGTTGAAGGTGAATGTATTGCCATAGGATCATCTTGTGTCAGAAAGACCTGTGACACAGCTACTCCAGCAGCAAGCTTTACTACTAATGCTCAATGTACTGCTCATCTATCCACATGCACAGTTGCAAGAGTAGGAGGTTGTTAACCAAGAGCTGCTTGTTCCACATATAAATCAAGTAATTAATGCAAATTCAATACAACTGGTGGTAGATGTTTCTGGAATGCAACAAATTTGACTTGTGTTGATTTTAGTTGCGGTAACATTGAATAGACATCCTTATATGATACTCATTCTAAATGTGCTTAAGTTGATTAAACATGTACAGTTAGAGCTACTAATGGAGCAGCTGTCCATGGTTGTATGGCTAGAGGGGCATGTAGTTCTTATTAAATTGAGGATTAATGCAACAGAAATGCAACTGGAGGTGTTTGTGTTTGGAACACAAACTTAGCCTAAGCAGCATGTTAAGATAAATCATGTAGTACTGCCCCAACTGCAACAGCAACACATGATGATTGTAATGCCTATTTCTCGACCAACACTATTAGATGCACAGTAGTTGCCACACCAGATGCTAATGGTGGTGCACCAGTTCTAGGAGGTTGTCAATAAACAGCAGCTTGTGCTACTTACACCCATTAAGAATAATGTAAATTCAATGCTACTGGAGATGCTTGTGGATGGAATGGTACTTAATGCGCAGATAAGTCATGTGCTACTGCACCTGCAACTGCTGATTACGATGATAATGATAAATGCAGAGCTTATTTCAATAATAAATGTACAGTTGCAGATTCAGGATAAGGATGTGTAGATATACCAGATACATGTGAAACTATGGTAGAAAGATAATGTGTTAGTGATAAATCTGGTAGATTATGCTATTGGAACGGAACTGGTTGTATTACAAGATCTTGCGAAAATGCTTCAGAAGCCACAGCTTCTGCTGATGAATGTAATACTTATTTATCTGGATGCACTTTAGATGCAGATGTAAAATGTAAGACAAAGGTTTGTGAAGATTTTGCTTTTGCCACTGATGCCTTATGTAGATAAGCTATAAGTACATGCACAACAAATGGAACAAATTGTGTCACAAGAGGAACTTGCTTCTAAGCAATGAGCTAAGCCGGTTGTGTTACTTCAGCAACAAATCAATAATGTGAATGGATGCCAGCTGTCGGAAATAATTAAGCATATTGTACAATAAAGACATGTAATACAGCTCCAAATACTTTAACTTCTGAAGCAGCTTGTGCAGGTTATTTCACTAATTGCACAACAAAGAATGGAGGTGGATGTGTTGCTAAATCAACTTGTGCAGCTGTTACTGTTGATGCTGCTTGTACAACCGCTCTTAATGGAACTATTTGTGCTTGGGATAGTGCATAAAATAAATGTAGAGACAAAGATTGTTAAGATTTTAGTGGAACTACTCATGCTGCATGTTAAGGATAAAGAGCTGGATGTACTGCTGGAGCTAATGGAAAATGTGCTCGAGTTTAAAATTGTGAGCAAACTACATTAAGAAGTGCATGTATTGAAGGAACAAATGGACCATGTTTATGGGTTAAAGACTTCATTAATACTGATGGATCAACAGGAGCTTGCTTTAGATACACTTCATGCAAGAGTTTGACTTGGAATTCTGATACATAATGTAAATGGCTAAGTAAATAATGTACAACTAATGGATCTAATTGTGTTGGTATTACTTTATGTTCTGAAACTAATACTGATGGTGGATGTGTTACAGGATATGATGGAGCTTGTATATAATCAGTACCGGCTTTGAATTCTGCAGATCCAAAGGTTTGTAAACCATATACATCTTGTGCTGATGCTTTCTATACAACTCATTCAGATTGTTAAATTGCTAGTAGTAAATGTACAACAAATGGAACTACTGGTTGTATTGCATTAGGTGCTTGTTCATCTTATACTTCATAAGCAGGATGTTATTTTAATGATAAAGGTGTCATTTATACATCTGGAGTCATAACTTCAACTGGTATTTGTACATGGGATACAACAGCTAGTAGTTGCAGAGATTAATCATGTGCTGATTTGACTGGAATAAACCATGCAGCATGTTCTTCATAATTATCAACATGTACTTCTGATGGAACAACTTGTTTAGTCAAAGGAGCATGTTCATCATACACAACTTAAACTGCTTGTACAACTGCTGTTGGATCTGATGGTGTATGTTATTGGGAACTAGCATCAGCTACAAATAATAACACTGCTAAATGTAGATTATTAACTTGTCCTGATATTCAAAATGGTACAGCCACCAATGTTTGTTCAGTAGCTTTGTCATCTTGTGTTTCAGATGGAACAGCTTGTATTACAAAAGCTAATTGCTCAGCCTATAAAACTAAGGTAGCATGTAATTCAGGTGGATTAGATGGTATTTGTGTATTCACTTAATCAACTGCTACAGGAGCTGTTGCTGGTACTGGAACATGCTAATTAATGACAGCATGTACTACTGCAAATAATGATTAAACAGCTTGTTAATAAGCCAGAGATAGATGTTCATGGACTGCAGCATCAGGAACTGGTGCAACTGCTGTTGCTAGTAAATGTGCTACACATACTTGTGCTACAAATTAAGCAACAAATGGAGCTTGCACAAGATTCTTGAATTGGGATAGAAAGACTTAATAAGTTTGTACACTTGTTAGTGGAGCATGCACAGCAACTGACCCATCAACTTTGTCATTAAATGATTGTTTCTTGGTTTCTGGATATACATACACATGGAATGCATCAACAAGCAAATGTGGAGTTTGCACTGCACCTGTTGTTTAACCAAATAATACAGATAATAATACAAATAATACCACTAATTAAACAACAACCGATTCAGGATACATTCTTGGATTATCAACAATCATTTTGGGATATCTCATGTTTTGATGAGAATGATTTTTACATTTATATAGGGAAAAATTATTATAAATACATAATTATATTATTCTGATTTTTTTCATAAATTATTTCAAAAATACTTAATGATAGTTCATTTAAATGATTATTTTATTATAATTTTTTAAATTTTAAATAAGATTATTGAAAATAACTTTTGTATTAAATATTATAAATCATATTTTGGTTTACTGATAAAAGTAAAAAGCATTTTTTGTTTCAATTTTTTTTCGACTCATATTTAGAAGTTTCATAACAATCTTTGTCATTTATTATTGTCCTTTTATTTATCAACTATAACAATACTGCTATATTTCTAATAATTTAAGTTATATAAAGAAATGCCAAATGAAAAATAAAAAATTATGAAATATAAAAATAGTATATAAGGTATTGTTATTTCTAATAAATATTATTAATTCTCAAATTCCAGAAATACAAGTTATTAAATATTGTTGAGTAGGGAAAGTGAAATATTGGAGATACTTTGAGATATTTCTATTATAATAAAATAAAAATTTACATTAATTATTGCTATATTAATACTCATGAAATTTAAATTGAAAAAGATATTGTATCCATTATTGTTCTATATTTAAATAAATCATTTCTAAAGAAAGATTCCAGAAATTTAATTAACAAATTTATGAACAGACTTATTATTATTATGTTAACTTATGATTTTCTATTTGCTTTTAAATACTTTAAGGCTATTCCACATATTTTCTATTAGATTAAGTTATGGAGTATAAGGAGGCAAAAATATTGTATTAACTAGATTTAAAAGTTTTTGTACCTTTTTACTTTTTTAGATAGGACTATTGTCCAATATCAGAAAAATATTTTTTCTTAATATTGATTTTAAAGCTCCTTAATCAGTTCAATTAGATATTGATTATATATAAACTAATTTACATAGCCTTTAAATACTTAATATGCTAAGAAATCATCAGTATTAATTGCCCCAATAATGCATATCTTTTTTTCTATGATTTAAAATTTTAGAAATCCTTTGATTTGCCAAATTTCTAAGGTTTTTAATTATGCCCAAGAGCAACTTGAATTATTCAATAGCTTGGCCTAAGTAAACTATTGAAAATTAATATTTTTTTATAGTAACTACTTTGTGTTTACTCTCTTATCTTTTTTATATGGCAACCTGTATCTAGCATTACAATATTTTTAATTATAATTTAGGACTATCTTTGTCAAATTGATCATTCAGATTATTAAAAATGCTTTAAAGACCTTTGATACAAATTTCACTATCCTAAAGTTATGAAAGTGTGATCAATTTGATTGTTTTCCTTATCCATTACAAATGGGTGGTTTTATTCAAGTTAAAATAATTTGATTAATCTTATTTCATTTATTCATTTAGAATTAAAACTTCGCTTATGATGTTGTTTTTTTATTCTTACAAGTTTTTTTATATTTCAAAAATTTATTTTTTTATATGAAAATAAAATTTGATAGGGCATATTTTTATTGGTTTCATTCAGTTGTTTTGTATTGTGAATTCCAATAGTTATATTATTTCAGGCAATCTCGTTTTAAGAAGCTAACTAACTTGTTGGATCTATAGAATCTATGGATGCTGCCCTAATCCTCAAAAATTATTATATTTCAGTTTTCTCATCATCTGTAATTTCAAGTGATTACTTTTTAAAATTTGTTCTGGGAAGATGTTTCAGAATGTATATAGGTAAAATAACATAGGTTAATTGTTTAAGAAAATAAGTAAAATTAAGCCCTTTTTAAGAACCCTAAAAGGTTTGTTAAAGGAACAAATAATTTTAGGGAAGTAGGCCGAAAAATTACAAGATAAAAAGTGGTTGATTAATGTATTGCATACATTTAGGCAATATAATATTTAAAAACATTAGTGAATAAGATTAAGTTGTTGGATTGACAAAAGATGACATCAAGTAAAAATTATTTTTTACATTTTAAGTATTTTCAAATAACTTGATACCTCATTCGACTTTAAGAAATCTACGAAATTTTTTAAGAGAACCTTCTCTTAAATTGCTAAAAGAAAGTTGTTTTTGGCAAATCATAAACTTTTTAATGTTACCTCGAAATTAAAAAAAAAAGATGGAATCTGAGAAAATATAAAATAAGATATTATTAAAATGAAATTATCATCCTCTAAGAACGCACACAAACTTAGAATGAACAGCAAAATTTTACAACAAAATAAGCATTGAAATGAATATTTATCAATATAAACAAATATTATAAAAATGAAGACCCTTTTGAGTTATTTTTTTATTTTGAAACAGAATAAACGGAATGATGTTTGTTAAAAAGAAATATCATAGATTAGATAAAAATAGCTTAATCAAATATTTAGAGAGGAATTAAATTTATTTATTTATTTTTACTCAAAATAGTTTAAGGTTATATTCTAACGTGCTAATAACAGTTGATTATTATGATCTAGATAAATATTCTAATTTTCAACCACTTACATGAAACTTTTTATAGAAGAATGATAATTTGAGTATTAATTAGGCATATTAGTAATTAAAACTTATCATATAAAATATCAAAATAATTTCCATCTTAATGAAATTTGAATTGAAATAAATTTCAAATTAAAACATAATAATCATTATAAAAGTTAAAAAAAGTTATGGTTTGTAAGAAATTTTAGTAATAATTTTAATAACCTTATTGTAAATAGGAAAATAGTAAATGAAATGTTAATGTCCTATTAAATATTTTAATAAGATGTTTGTTAATAGCTTGATAAGTAAAAAATTAAATTAAAGAGATTAATATAATCTATGAAACTTAGCACTTTCAAATAATCAAAATCTTGGATAATTAATTCTTTACTAATACAAATTCTAAACACTAAATATGACAAATTGATTCTATTTTATCAATACTAATATAATTTTTCCACTTTAACTTACTAGTTGGATAAGGTAATTCATCTAAAAGATTATTTGAGTTTACCAGGATAGTGTATAGAAATTTCTAAATTACATATTGGATTCATTAAATATATTTATTAATTTGTTTGCTTCATTCATGAAATAGACAAATACAAAAATTTGAAGTAATGGCAATTTATTTTAAAATAGATCAAAATGATCTCAATAAGATTGATTTTTTTAGTTAGTTGAATAAATAAGAATTATTCAGTCAAATTTGAGTAGAAAATTTTTATCAAAAATCGGCATTTACCTTTTTAATTGTGAAACTTGAAATATAGCAATACTTATAAAAAATATATCACAAACTGATCGATATTTATTTCAATTATTCAAACTTTGAAATTTATCTCTGCTTCATTATAATAGCTAATTTTTTTTGGTTTTGTATGCAATTCAGTTATTCACATTTATAAAATACACAAAACTAATAATTATCTAAATTATTCTTATTAATAGTATAATGAGTAAGTAACATAAGTCAATTTAGAACAAGAATAGATATATTATATTATTATCAACTTAAAACAATTATAATTATATGGATCGTAACACTTTTAAATGCAGAGCATCTAAAATTTCATAAGAAAAACTAAATTTTTTGAGGCACCAAAGATTCTTATCAAATTTCTCTCATATTATAAACAATTGAATGTTCCTTGATTATCAATTCAGAATTAGTGCATTTACTAAATTTAATAGACTTAAAAAAGCAAAGGCCTCATTCTACACACAAAAAATTTGTAAATAAACTCCTAAATAAATAAACTATTTTTAAAATAAATTAATCATGGCCCAAAAATGAGATAAGAAAAGGAAATGAGATATAGGAATCGCCTATATGATTTTCATCAGTTAACATTTAAATTATTAGATCAACAACTTTATTTTGTCGAATACAAATTATTTGCTTTTCAACTTTGAGTTTTAACTTTAATTTTTTTAACTTAATTCATACTCTCACGAATATAAGACATAAAAATAAGTCATCTCAAATGCATCCTAAACTATAGAACAAGAAATCGCAAAATTATGGATAAACTGATCAGATATGCCTGTAATACTCTTTTTTTTAATGTAATTGGCTATAATCCATTAATATCATCAAAACTATTAAGACAATAATTTAATGCATATAAATTATGTTAAAATGACTTAGCATTTGAAATAAAATTAACAAGCTTTTTTAGGATTGTTAATTATAAAATAATTTTTATTAATTATATTTAAAAATTATTTGGGCGCTTTTTTTATTCTTAATTCAAACTTTATAAATAGTCTTTGTAATTTATATCGCAATTAGAATTCCTTCAATTATTCCAACATAAGCTCTGAAAAAGATTCTTCCTCTGAGTTTGATTTTTTTTTGAAATTAGAGTAGGCCAACTCCATTTACAGAAAATGAAATTATATGGAATAAAGAAATCCTACTAAAGGTTTTAACGATCATTAGAATAGCTAAGTATTAATTAATACAGTTTTAAGAATTAAAAAATGGACATAGTTAATAATTGAAAAATGTCCTAATAAATTATTTATATAAATACAAATAGTATGAAGTAATCTAAATAAAGAAAATACAATTTAAAATTGAAAATTCTAGAATTCTTACTATTTCTAACTATTAAGGTCTTCAAAATATTGTCACCAATAGGCTGCATCTAATTGAGTTCTTATTTTAGGAATCAAAAAAAATAAAACGGAACAAAATTTGAGATAATAATTAAATTTTAAATAATTCTCATTTATCATCCCTTTACATCTTGTCTCTATTGTATTGAGTTTAAAGTTGATTATTATTTGTTATTCGTCGGTTAATCATCCAGTTCTAATGTAGTTTCGATTGAAAAGGGAATATTGAGACATGCTGATTATCTGAATTTGAAATCGCAAGTATACCACCAGGGATAATGAAATCTCTTTATACTTCATTAAATAAGAAACAATTAAAGGATAAGAGATGTTCTTTCTAGGTTAAGATGGACTAGAATATGGATGAATTTCTATCTTCATCTTTTTTTCTAATCAAGTTCTCATTTTTCCTCCATAGGTTTTAAATTAGCTGGGCAAGAATTAAGCAAAATGTTAACTTAGTAATACTCATACTTATGTGTTCACTCAATTATGTCATGAATCTAGAAACAGAATATTATATGAGCAAGAGGATTCAGAAAGAGCATATTTAATGATAAACTCAGGCACTTTTCAAAAGTAACATTGACTGAAGCTTTCTTTTTATACTTACTAAGTCTCACCTTCATGAAAATTATATAATATAAATATTATTGATGCCAATTAACGCTTATAATGAATACTGATCCTGCATTTAATCAAGATATAGGATGTAATAATTAAAGAAAATAAATTTAATTTTATTCATTAATTTAACTGGAATGAAATCGAAAGCAAATAATAATAATTTTAATGAATAAATAATTCATCATATTAGCATTGTTGCTCGCCTTAGCAACAAGTCAAACCTACAGTATAGCAACATGCACATGCGTATAATTGTTATCAGAAGCAGATTGTATAAAAAACGTATCACTTGGATGTTCTTGGGATAGCACAAAGAAAGCTTGTGCAGTTTCAACTACTCCCGTTACTCCAACAGTGACTTATGCAACATATTGTGAAAGCTTTACAGAACCAGATTGTCCAAAAGCTAAACCTTGTACAGATTGTGGTAATTATGCTGCCTGTGCCTGGGTTGAAGGATAATGCTCACATTTCACAGGATGTACAGCCTTTGCAAAAACAACAGATCCTGAATGTTAAGCAATAAGTAATAGATGTATTACAGATGGAACTCATTGTGTTGAACTTGATGCTTGTAGCACATACAAGAAACAACTTCCTTGTGTCAAAAATTCATCAGGAAGATTGTGTTACTGGGATACAACAAATAATACTTGTGTAGATGCTAATGCTTGTGATAGATTACCAATTACATTTGTTACAGATAAAGAATGTAGAGATGTGATACCAACTTGTACAACTAAAACTGGAGGTGGATGTGTTGATAGTGGAAATAATTGTAGTGATTAAACATTAGAAATTTAATGTGTTTGGAATAAATTAGGAACAATGGCATGTTATTGGGATGGAGCAGCATGTAAAGATAGAATTTGTGATAATGCACCAACAACATTAACAACTGATGAAACTTGTAAAACCTTTAGAACTGATGGAACATGTACAACTAAACCTAATGGAGGTTGTATTACTAGAACTACTTGTGCAGCTGCAACTATCTTAGCTGCATGTGTTAAAAATAGTTCAGGTGGTGATTGTT